TGCCATCTAGAGAGAAATATTGTAATTGAAAGTTCATTAGTTTCTTAAAATAGTATTTGAATCTTTAGAGATCAGAAGCATAGATTCTTTCCTCGAGTGCTTACCGAACAACTAGAATGATCAATTCCTTTCTGTCAGTCAGTTTTGGTGATAGACATCCCTTCTTTGATAAATACGGAATTTCTATCCTTTATGTGGAAGTTTGGTAGCTCTGTTAACCAATCTGAAGTAACATGTTGAGATCACTGGATAGAAATGTAATATTTTGGTTTCTGAATATTCTGAGTTCTTGCAGGTGTATGAACAGTCTATTTCTGCAGTCTGCCAAATTAATTGGCCGAGGGACCGTCTACTGGTTCAGGTTCTTGATGATTCTGATGATGAGAGCATACAGTGGTTAATCAAGGCTGCGGTCACTAAGTGGAGCCAAAAAGGAATCAACATAATCTATCGGCATCGCTTATTGAGGACGGGCTATAAAGCTGGCAATCTTAAGTCTGCTATGAGCTGTGACTATGCTAAGGATTATGAATTTGTAGCAATTTTTGATGCAGACTTCCAACCAAATCCTGATTTTCTCAAAAAAACGCTGCCATATTTCAAGGTTTAAAACGAGAACATCCAGCATTTTCAGTAAGTAGTTTTTTTTTTATGATAAAAAGAGTGTCCTACTTATTTTACTGCCTGTGTGCCCTCGTTTTTATTACAGAACAATCCCGAACTAGGTTTGGTCCAAGCTAGATGGGCTTTTGTAAACAAGGAAGAGAACTTGTTGACTCGGCTCCAGAATATTAACTTATCCTTCCATTTCGAGGTGGAGCAGCAAGTCAATGGGATATTTCTTAACTTTTTTGGTTTCAATGGAACTGCCGGTGTTTGGAGAATCAAAGCTCTAGAGGAGTCTGGGGGCTGGCTCGAGAGGACCACGGTAGAAGATATGGACATTGCTGTACGAGCTCATCTCAATGGCTGGAAATTCATCTTCCTGAATGATGTAAAGGTGATCATTATTTGAATAAAAGTTGTTTATGTATCTGAATCATTCTTATATAGCTTGAAATGACTAGGTCTCTTATACATGTGTGATCGCTTCACAAATTTCTTGAAATTTTCAGGTGCTTTGTGAAGTTCCTGAGTCCTATGAAGCTTATAGGAAGCAGCAACACCGCTGGCATTCTGGCCCTATGCAACTTTTTAGATTGTGCCTTCCAGCAATTTTAAGATCTAAGGTAAGTCCCATACTCTTGATGTGATAGAAAAGAAAAATACAAAGGAAGAACGAGTTCGTAGGGCTTGCAAGTATTGTTTAATCACTTGTTTATGATACGCACTGCCTCAAGAGCCTTGAATTCTCCACTACTGCAGGTATCCGCGTGGAAGAAAGCAAATTTAATACTGCTATTCTTCCTGTTGAGGAAACTCATTCTTCCATTTTACTCCTTCACCTTGTTTTGCATAATTCTCCCTCTAACCATGTTTGTCCCAGAGGCAGAACTTCCTCTTTGGGTGATCTGCTATGTGCCTGTATTCATGTCCTTCCTCAACATTCTGCCAGCCCCGAAATCTTTCCCTTTTATCGTCCCCTATCTCCTCTTCGAAAACACCATGTCTGTCACTAAATTCAATGCAATGGTATCTGGACTCTTTCAATTGGGCAGCTCTTATGAATGGGTTGTAACCAAGAAGGCTGGGAGATCATCAGAGTCTGATCTACTTGCTGCTGATAAAGAAGCAAAACCGACGCAACAAATAACAATCTGTGGAAGATCTTCTGAGTGGGAACTTGGCAAAACGAACCAAATTAAGGACCAAAAAGACGCTGTTGCATCGCCTGTAGAGAAAGCTAATAAAATATATGTAAAAGAGCTATGTAAAAGAGCTGACTTTGGCATTCCTCCTACTCACAGCTTCAGTCAGGAGTCTTTTATCAGCACAAGGAGTTCACTTTTACTTTTTGCTCTTTCAAGGGGTTACCTTCCTCCTTGTGGGCCTTGATCTAATCGGAGAGCAGATGAGCTAGGCTTTGATTCATTACACAAACCCTGCTTCTATAGAGCCAAATTGCATTCTAGCAGCAAGATACTGCATGCAGTTGATGAAAGACTACACTTTTCGTCTTCTCATGTTTGTAGTAAATTTTTACCGTCCATCTGGACAAAGGAACACAGCAAATACCCTCATTTGCACAACTCACCCCTCCAGGATTGTAGGGAATCTCTTTCATAGGTATTGAATTCTTGTTGGCAGTTGCAGGGAGCTGCAAAAATTTATGATCTCTTCTTACATGCTCTTTAGTCAATATCTGTCCTTGAAATTCAAGACACTTGTTTCCGTGGAAGCCCGATGTTGCTTGTTGTGTTTCTGTTACTGTTTTGAAATATTTTGCTTTCATTTTTCCAATGATGGATTGGACAAGCCAAACATATATCTGTAAATGAGTTCCGTTTATCTAATATAAACTTTATTTGCCCAGTCCTCGATCCTTCAGGTGGCTTGATCTTTGATCATGTCACTTGCGCCTCTCTCTCTTATAGGGTCACAATCTCTAACTGCAGACGGGGCATTGCTGGAGGGAAGGGGATGTCCGGTTTTATTGCATAAAAGGAAAGGGGGGAGAGAGAACCATCTGACTAAACCTAACATGATATAGGGCGTAATCTAAACTTGAAACTTCGAGTACGTGTGTTTAAGTGTTGTTAAGGTAAGAATTATGTAGCTAGTGTCTTAATGATGCCCATCTTTAAAATGCAATGAGATTCATTATTTATGCTAACTCTGAGATGTATTTAATTATAACCGTCACATAACATGAGTATGGTAAGTGAGGATTTTTTATGGTTGAATGAATCTATAATACTTTTATAGCTTTAGCCTTCTGGTATAGGATCTTCCAATTGGCTGGATGGAACGTTTTTGGCTTTCAGTTTCAGAGTTTGGTTGAAATTAGTTATTGTAACGGTATTTTTATTTACTCCCTTCGATTTTATTTATAAGTCACATTTTAAAAGATTTATTTAGTCTCATTTATAAATCACAGTATGGCTTTTTAAGTAAAAGTTGAAAAGTATTTTTAAAATTATTCTTTATAAGAGAGAACAAGTAATATAAGATCACTTTTTGAATTTATTATATAAGAGCATTTTTAAAATTTTACACACTTTTATTTCATATTCTTTTTTGCACTGGCATTGATAAGGTTGGTAGAAATGATTTATAAAGAGAACTAGAAGAGTGTATATTTTTAAAAAAAATTAGTTGGTAAACTGAAATTGATTAAAAAGTAATTGAAAATTTTTTTAAAAGTGGCACTTGTCAGCTGTTTCCCGATGTCTGAAGTTTTTGGGGGAAAAAAAAACATACAGCTTTCCCCGTTCTAAAAGTACTTTTTATTTTCCAAAAATCATAACCAAGTCCAAACACACCATAAAAAATCAATGTTTGGAGAATCTCGTGTGTGGGCTCCAACATGAGTGTACACTAACAAAGCCTAGACCCATTAACCCATTCGTGCAGTAAAAAGCAAAATCTCGATTTTGGAAGTCCGCAAGATACTGGGTAGAGGACGGAGACGTGCCTTTGTTAAAAGGCCATCGCACCAACTTTTTGGGTCATCGTGTAGCCCATCTCCACGGAAGGAGATCCTCTCCTCATCCCTTCTCTCCTTCTCATCTCCATCTCCACCTTCGGTTTAAAAATGAAGGGCTTGGATTCAATTATTTTATAAAACAAGAATCATAATATTATATTAAAAAATAAATAAATAATTTTAAATTATTAAAATTTAATCTTCATAGTTTTTAACTGCGATAAAATAGATAAAAAAAATTTAATAATAGCATACAACTGTGAACTGTGCAAGTCAAATTTTAACAATTTAAATTTATTTTTATTTTTATATGATAATATGATAATTATTTTATACAACAAATAAATCTGGACCATTTATTTTGTTGTTTAAGGGTGGGGATGAGGATGAAGGGGAGAAAAGGAGAGAAGGGATGAGGAGAGGATCCGAACCTCCATCTCCACCACTAATCCTTGCATAAACATAGGAATCTTTAACATTAAATACTATTCGAGACTCACTGTTCTTTAGAATCACTTAACGTACTAATCCTAGCTCTGATTCTTTAGAAGCACTTAACTTACTGTTCAAGATAAGTGGTCAAGACCATCCTTTTAGAGAGATCGTTCATTCAACCAGGGATCTCATTTATGATGGTTGTGATTTAGAGTTGCATTTTAGCTGTAGGGAAAGCATCGATTGGGCGGACATCTTGGCGAAGGCTGGACATAGATCTGGTTATAACACAACTGTCTTCCTTGATATTCCTTCAGATTCTGTTCATTCTGTTCTGAGGGATAAGGCAATTAGTGTCTGATTTGCTGTAACTTCGTTGCTGTTTCCTATTTTCAAGCGTTACCTTGCCTCTGTAGTAATAATAATAATAATAATAATAATAACAATAACAATAACAATAATAATAAAGATACTATTCGTGACTTGTCTAATTGAGTTTATAATTATATAATGCATTTTAGGAAAATTTCCTATGCCTCATTCTACTTACGATTTTATAGCCCAGAACGAATCCGATGAGCAAAAGACTGATTTTATTTGTGACACATTGTCCAAGCATGTGCGGTATTTGTTTCTATTTCAGCACACTATGAGCATCAACATATTTACGTAACAATCAAAAGAAACCTCATATGGTCGCTGCTAGATATTTGGTTCCCAACAAGCCCCTAGACTGATAGTCAGGGAATTAAAAGCTACAAGAAACCTGCTTCAGCCCTTGAGTTAAGGGGAATTTTTTGGACCTTTGATCAAAAGTCCACCTTGGATGGGTCAGGTGGAGATTGATGAGAGGGTGGTAGGATTTTCTTCTTGCTTTGTATTTTTTCTCTTCATTGATCCCCTGTTCTATTTGTGTTTGGGCCGGGGGGGGGGGGAGCTACAAATAAGCCAGTAAAGTAATCATGCCAAAAGAAGATAATAATAATAATAAGAGGGGCACGCTGAGATGAAAACAGATTACAAATCATTGTTAATTAGGTAACCTAAACAATGTATCTTAGCATCAACCAACTTGAAAAGAGATGTGTCAAAAGAGAAGCACCGGAAAAACCAGCAGTAATTCCCAGCTTATACTAGAAATGTGTCCCATGCATGAATCAAATCAAAAACCAAATTGGATGTCCAAATTCATCCAACAGAGAACCACAATCTAATGCTCTTTATACTATAACTAGTAAAGCTAACACTTGCCTCCCTCTCAGGATCAGCGAAAGCTTCAAGCAATATTAACGTACCTTAGCAAAGCTAACAAACAGTCACCAAAGGTCAGGCAACCAAAATAATCTAATCCAGGACCACATAATTAAGGGTGGGGGAGTGTGAGAACTTTCAGTATCTGAGGGTTGAACCATATGCCTGACCAGCAGCTGCTTAGCCATGCAGTTCCACTTTTTGGACAGAAGCCATGCAGTTCCAAACTAATGTATTGTAGAAACCAAAAGATGGATACAAAAATCAAAGGTCGAGGGGTTCCTTCTTTAATTTCTTTCTTCCTTTTCTTTCATTTTTTTTTCCTTTGGGGAATAATCACTGCAAGATGTGGAATGCTTCAGAAAAGAACAGTAATTCGGCTTAATCAACAATGCAATTGAGTCTTAAATCCTAGCTGAACTTTACTTTCAATCCAGATCATCTAGATTTCTTTTCACGTGGAAGAAAAGCCCAAAACCCACTTCCGTAGAACATAAGTACCTGCCAGAAGTATTTGATGCAGCCCGTCAACCCTTTTTGAAGTTATAATTAAAACCATTAGAGTTTGAGGCGCACACATCACAAGTGGGGAGAGACTAAATGAAACAGAAGCAAGCAGCCGGCTGGGACCCCCAACCATTCAAAAATTGAAGATCCCAAAGAAGGGGAGCCAAGAATCATGTCCCATCAACGCACAAAATCAATGTAGCAGTACCAGAAGACACCTCAACACGGGGAAAAATAGAGCATAAGTTTTGGCAGAAATATGAAACTTTTTCAACAGGTGAGAAACAACTACCTTGAAAAGACACTTTTACCTGTACGGAAACTAAAAGTACTCAGCATACATAATAGAACATAACCTAGAAAATTCTACAAAGTAATTAATCCAATCTAAGAGTAGAAGCACAGGGCGTTGCCTGATTAAACAAACTCGTACTGCAATCTGAGCACACCAAATCAACAAAATCTCCTTATCCTCTTAACAATGGCAACTCCAAGTTCTCATAAATCAGCTTCTACTGCGGTGCCGTTCCCTTACTCCATTTCTGCAAATTAATCAGCATTTTATGTCAATAGAAATATAAGAGCAACACTCATGCCGTATAATAAACTACACTTAATAAAACAGGTCCTGCTAAGCCATGAGGTCTAGCTAACAGACTCTGAAAGGTCAACAAGACACCATATACAATAACCTCAAATCCAATATCGATAATGGGGGAGAAAGCAATCTGATTAAACATTTAGCAGACACGATCAAAAACTTATGTTTGTCTGTCAGAGAGAAAGTGAAAAGTCTAAAACAATAAGTTAGAGTACATAGGGAAGTAGCCTAACCCATTTGTACATGGTAGATCCTCACGTCCTTGGTAAGGAGGTGATCTGCTATAGCTGCGTCCACGAGGTGACAAACTGCGGCGCTTAGGGCTAGGGGACCTACCCCCACGAGGACTGTAACTCCTGCTTGATATCAATGAATTATCAAAGAACACTACAAAGAATACGTAATGCTTTATGCATGTAATAAAATCATCAAGTTTAACCAGAACCAATCTTTTTCTTCTTATTCTAATAAACACAGCCAAATTGCTTTATTTATAAGATGAATGATACCAAGGTTTTTTAATTTTAAAAACAAATTCACTTTCTAGAGCTAACGGAGTCTTTAACTAATATGAAAGTTCCTGGAAAGTAAAATTTTAACTTGCTAACAAATGCAGGGAGCACAACTACCAGACTATGCTGCACAATCACAAGAAAATACAACTACTTCCCAAATATTTGTTTTCCTTCAGGAGAGACAAAGTGTCCTGCCGACATACTGGCAGAGGATCAGAGAACCTATGGGAATCAGTCTCACCTCCGCCCATAACTAGGGCTCCTGCGGTATCGAGGTGGACTGCGGCTACGTCGTCTTCCTGAACCACCACGCATATGACATTCGCGAGCAAAATGACCAGGTTCACCACACTCATAACATTTCAAATCAGAGCCACCAGAGCGACCACGGCCACCTCCCCCTTTAGAGTTGTGAGAAAGCTCCACCCTCCAACCATTCTTACCTGCTCCAAAAAACAAATACAAAAGGCATGTTAAGAATATAATTTTTTTTTTTAAAGAAAACAAAACTAACAGAAAAGGATATATTGTCAAGAAATGCTTCTCAAAGGTTCAATGGAGCAGTTATATCGATTGATCATCTATTCAAGCACATATTACTCATCGGAATATATGCATGGAATTATATCCACAGGCCGCATTCACACAGCCCATAGTTTAATTGCAATAGTAGGCAACTCACAAGCAAACACTTCGCTTGCCATGACCATCCAAAGTGGTATATCCCTCTGTTAGCATTCTTATTTCTCAATTACGTACAATCAACTTTACAAATCAGCAGTCTTTGATGAAGACTGAAGCAAAAACCATTCCCGCAGGCCTGCTCAGTGCTTGCATGAGATATGTGCAATAAAGAAGTAGAACAAAGAGAGCATCTGCTTCCCCAAAGGCCTGTGGCTTCCTCAAGTGAAAAAAGAACTTAAATAACAAGCTGAGGATAACCCCTCAACATGTCCCCGGGGGGGGGGGGGTTATAGCACATTAGCATGTAACAAGAATTAGTCAATTCGAGAATTCTTAAATAAATACGTCGCATTTCAGCCTTGTTTCTTAAATGCTTCTAACATACCGTCTAATTCACGAATGGCATCTTGCGCATCTCTGCGGTCATCAAAATCAATAAAGGCATAACCAGGTGGTCTCCGTGCGACCCAGACACTACACACGATATTAAAAAAAAGGAAAAAGAAAAGGTCTACGTTAAACTGAAAGATATCAAATTGCTATTAAAAAGTAACTATGATAACATGCGACACGTTACCATCCCGGTCACCATAGTTGAATGTTAATATTCGTTTTTTATTTGTAAAACATGAAAATAACTTGCAATATGATTAGTAATTAATTTTTTTTTTCCATTCCGCTACCTCCGTATAACCCCAAATACACGAAATTCATCTTCAAGATCTCTCTCAGTAACTCTCGAATCCAAGTTACCAACGTACACACGGGTCATCGTTTCAGTCTTTTGGTGAAACCTGCCAGTAAGAGACAATACAATTAAACCAATTTGACTAAAAAATTCAAGAAAGTCCTGCAGCCAAAAGATATAAGCTTCGGTCCACTTCCCCTGTATCAAAATCGACATTATGAAGGAGAATAGATGTTACTATAATTATTATATTATTAGTGAACGGAAAAAAAATTGGGAGGAAAAAATAGGGTGACTTTAAATTTCAATGTTGCTTGGTCAATGACTTCAAATCTCAATTTATAATGTGTGTTTTGTGGGTATGTTCCAGGTGAAGGAAAACAAGTTTTCTATGTGAATTTACAGCCTGAGGGCTAAGGTTAACAAAATTTGCAGGCTTAAATTTGGGAAATAAACGAAACGGGAAGAGGCAAAACTTAAACGAAGAGAAGAGAGATCTAAACCTGGAATTAAGAGCGACGAAAATGAAAAATTGAAGCCGCCGGCGGCCTCACCGTTCTATGTTTCTTCAGGTCGTTGCGGCTTGTACTGCATTTAAACTCGGCAGCTCGAAATTAAATGTTCATGGGCTTAGCATAAAGGCCAGACTTCAAGATCGGCCCTTTGGGCTTGACAAAAGGCCTTCTTAATTAATTGAGATTTTGGGTTTAGTTATTTTGTTGAGATCTGTGCCAACCGATTTGGATTGTCATTGAAATTGAAATATTAATGCCTGATTGACTTACAGTAATTGATATGAAAAATTAATTTTCCTTGTATACATCTACCTTGTATTATAATACAAATCATTATTAATTAATTTATATTTATGTAAGATTTATATAGATAGTTTTACATATTTAATATATTTATATACAATCAAATTATGGCAAGTAAATCTTAACATATTAATAAAATCAATAATAAAAATTTATTATAGAATAAATAATATATAGAAGGTCCACATATCATGGTTTTAATTCAAAACAATCGCGGTAAATATATAATTTTTTCCTTTACATTTCTAAATAAAAAGGTTAGTTAAATTCTTGATTTTCTAAACAATTTCACGTAATTTTCATTATGCCCTAGAATGTAATGAATATAACATTTGATTTATTCAAAATACCCTGGTTAATTACTCAATAAAGTAATTGTGTAACTTAAAAAAAAATACATGACACGTACTTGATATTTTATATTTTAAATGTAACAAAGCTTATGAAAAACAACTTATATATTATGGTTCAAAGAAAGGAAGTTGCTTTAACAATGATTTTGATTCAAAGGATTCATGTGGTAATTTATTTAGAGATATTGGTTAGCTAATAATGATCAATAATGATACACCCTTCAAATTGGGCAGGAGATCTCTCCATTTTTTTTCTCTACTTTCCCAATCCCCATCATTCATTAATTTTATCATTAAAAAAATTATTTAATAAAATAATTTGAGTGGTAAGGATTGGAGAAATGGAGGGAAATGGAGAAGAAAAAATGGAAAGACTCCTCCCTCCTCTAGACCTCTTTTATAGTAAATAAACAACCTCTTTATTCATAATCATGTATTTATAATAACTCGGTCTGTGTAAAAATTTGATTGTCATGTCCAACCCACTCTAATTCAAATAAGCCCAGTCTAGTAAATAATTTGGTCCAAAGAATTGGAAAGACAAAGAAAAGACCAAACCAACTAAAATATTATTTTTTATTACTTTTAGAGATTGTTATGAATTTTTTATGATTATAAGTATTTTTATTATTTTAGTTGAGTTTATTAAGATGAAATAACTTATTATCTATCATATAGAAAAAAAATAAACAAACTTAAGCAAGTATTGGACCACCAAGATCGGTCTTCTAGTTCTATGAACCAAATACGACTGAATTAGACTAAATTAGATTGAATTATGAATTTGCTAATCCAATCCTTTTTTATAAAGGAGACTAAATTTCAAATTCAAATAAACTCCAGTCTTATTAGCTAGTTACGATGGGGTAGATGTAAGAGTGCAATCATGAGGAATCTTTGTAGCTGCAAGGTACTCGTGCAATTTTTTTTATAAGCCATTTATATTAATATTGTCAATATTAATGCAAAAATAAAATATGAGAAATAAAAGTATGTAAAATTTTAAATATACCCTCATATAACAAATCTAAAAAGTTATATTATATTAATTTTTTATGAAAAAATAATTTTAAAAATATTTTTTAAATGTTATATAAAAAATTATATTATGATTTATAAATAAAATTAAATAAATATTTTAAAGCGTGTATTGTAACACACCAATTTTTTTTTTAAAATAATTTAACTCAACCATAGTTGGGTTACAGCCACCCAACACATTTTTATATCAATAATTTCAATATAAAATATTTTATAATTGGCTTCAACTCACACGCTATAACATTTCAGATAAATTTTTATCTCCCACATGCCATTAAGCTAAATCACATTTGTCCATCCTTATACTCCCAACAAGTAAACTAAATCACATTTGTCCATCCTTATACTCCCAACAAGTAAAATAAGCAATTTAGTAAATTTTCAACACATGCCAATTATTTGGCCTTATAATCATGCCATTTTAACCAATTCAAAGTAAACCAAATATTAAAATTATAGTCATTCAAATTGTACCAAAAATAAAAATAGTTTGAAAGGCATGATTACATTTATATATTCATATAATTGACAATAAACAAAAAGCCTTAATATTGACGATATAACACATTATAAATCATAAATTAAATACCCAAAAGAGAAAGTGGATCGATACCACTAAGCCTCTGGGACTCCTCCACGTATCACTCGTGGCTCTTCTCCTGAAAATTGTTAACCACATAATGAGACTCAAAAATCCCAGTAACCAAAGCCAATTTATGATAATGTATACAAACAGTTAAGTGTGTGCTTACTAAGTGAGAATTGAAAATAATATAATTTCAATAAATATAAGAAATATTACAATATACACAAACAACCATCCTTATATCCCTCCATTAATCTTGAGCCGTAGCCCTTACTCGGTGCTAAATTACCCGGTCAAAGATAGATTAGCCCGAGCCCTTACAAACCACCTATTGAGCTCCAATAGGAGCGTACCACGTGGCACATAAATACAATAACAATAGCAAGTCTCCCAACACCTCCCACAATAATGAAACAAATTCATAATAATATTACACAATTATACAATATTACAAAATTCATAATTTTCTCAATAATCACCCAATTAACATGAAGTAACACTAATCACAAATTAAAAGCATGGTTACCTTGTGGCTTTTTCAATAAATTATTTCTTAAAATTTCTCTCTCACCACAATCTTCACCAGTAATACAATCTACAAATAACATATTATTTATAAATATTAGTTTCAATTTTTGAAACTAATAAAATAATTCTAATAATAGAATTAAAAATATAACATAATTCCTAATCTCAATCTTAATACAAATCTAGAGTTAATACTATTAAGTAAAATTTTTAACTCCTCTTTTAATTATCAATAAACATTAATAATCTAAAAATCAACTTCTAAACTAATTTCTATTATCAAAATTTTCTTTTTATTTCATAAATTCGTACCTAAAACACCCAAAAATTAAAAATTGAGTCTCTAGCTTAGAATCATAATTCTATAGCCATAATAATTCATTTCTCATCCCAAATAATCATCTAAACCTCAATAAATCAACATATATTTTCAGATCTAGTTTAGAATTTGATCCATAAGCCACAAATTCAAAGATCATCAATAAATTTATACTCTAGAACATTTATTATACTACTGACAATCCCAAAAACCATATTTATTCAACATAAATTCATCCCTCTTCCAGATCTTAAATTTTCTACCACTACAAATTCAGAAACCAAAGAAGAAGGATGACTAAGAAAAATTTTTAAAACACTTACTTAGTCTTGAAAAGCTTAAAATCACACTCTAAATATCCTATTAAAAACTCTTACCTTAAAACCCAGCTCCGGTGAACTTGACTCAGACGCTCTCTCTGATCGCACACGAAAGAGAAGAGAAATGAAGGAAAAATGAGAAGAGAACGGTGGTTTAAAAAAAAAAGAATGTGGGTCCCACAATTTTTTTAATTATTTTTCTCTTTCCTCTCTCTTCTTTCTTTTATTATTATTATTTTATATAAATATAATGATTACACGGCCGAAAGTTTTCTTGTTCTTCTCATTTTGTTTGTTTGTTTTTTTTACCTTTTCTCTTTTTTATAATAATAATAATAATTTAATAATATTTTTATTTTTTTATTATTATTTTTAATTTTTTTAATTTTAATTTATAATTATATCCTAAGTTAGATTTAATAATCATCTCCTACTAATTTGCTTACCTCTAAATATTTTTTAAAATTTCTATTAACCTAAATTAACTATTAAAATTTAAATTGGGATGTTACATGTATGAAACAATTAGACGAGCGTGAGATATTTCACGTGCTCACCAAAACATTTTTTTTTTTTTGGAGAATGACAATTAAGGATCTTCTAAGAATATTAATTTCAATTACAGACTGTAAAATTTTAAAATCTCAATTAAAAATTATGGTCTTTAATTGTGATAAAAAATATAGTTTATGAGGTGAAATTCATTATTGCCACTTGAGAATTCACTAACCCAACTTGAGAAAATTTGTAACATATATTGTGAAAATATAAAACCCCACTTGAAAATTAATTGTTTAACAAAAAGCGCCACTTGAGAATTTACTAACTCGACTTAAAATTTTTTTTAATATATATTGTAAAAACATGAAACTTCACTAGAGAATCGATTGTTTAATAAAAAACACTAATTTAAACAAGTCACTTTTTATTAATAATTCTCAAGTGGGGTTTCATTTTTTCATAATATACGTTAGAAATTTATTCAAGCCTAATTAGTGGATTCTCAAGTGGCGCTTTTTGTTAAACATTTCATTTTCAAGTGGGGTTTTATGTTTTCACAATATACATTAGTAATTTTCTCAAGTTGAGTTAGTGAATTCCTAAGTCGCATTAGTGAATCACATCTCACAAATTACATTTTTTATCACAATTAAGGACCATAGTTATTAACTAAGATTTTAAAATTTCACGACCTGTAATTGAAATTAATGTTCTTAAAAGATCCTTAATTATCATTTTTTCTTTTTTTTTGCTGGTACGAAAACGAAATTATCATTAATTAAAAATTCGTCCAATACATTGTTCATTTTGCACGGCAGGATGGATCAAGTTGCCGGTGGTGGCATTTGATTTAATTTGAGCACAGCTTAGATTGAGAAGGTGCTTAATTGAATTTGATTTTTTTAAAAAAAAAAAACTGGGCCATGTTTGTTAATAAGGAGTAAAAAGAAACACGTGGAAGGAAGTGATAGTAAAAGTGAGAGCGGTATGTTCTAGAATCCTTGCAAGCAGCAGCAGTAATAATAATGATAATAATAATATAATTAAAAATATGATGCACGGCAATGTTGTTTCGCTAGTCGACAAGATGGAAGGTCTTGGCATATA